TCCTTGGTGCCCAGCTCCTTGTCCTGGTCCGTGAAGCTCTGCTGCTTCTCATGCGGTGCGGTGGCCTTGGTGTGTGTCGTCGCGACGTTTGTCTGCGACAAACTTCGGCTTGTCGAGCGTCGCGTCGTTCTTCGTCGCCAGCATCTTGCCCTGGTCTGTGTGTCTGCGCGGCGTCTCAAGCGTTGTGTGGGTGCTGTCGGCGTTCTGCGCGTCATGAACCTGTGCTCCTCGAGCGCCATGATGATGCAGTCCAGTGGCCGCGGAGGAGGAACGCGGGAGTCTGGGCCTCTCAGACGGGGTCGGAGCGGATGGGGTCGGAGGAGCGCGCCGCGTCGCCCGTGCATCGGCGATGCGGCTCGATGTGGGAGCCCGATTTTCCGCACGCCGACGTCGCCGGTGCAGCGCGATCCTCCGATCCCATCTTTTCCAAATCCCTTATCAATCGTCCCCCAGGTCCGGTTTTTAAGGCGCCTTTTTCGTAACTGGGGGGGTCCAGTTTATAGGGCGCTTTCTGTGGATTGGAGCTTCGGGGGTGCGGTGCATCAAGGCGCCCCGTCGAAGAGGGGGGTCCGGAATATTAGGTCGCATTTGGAGAGGGATCCGGTCTTTCAGGGGGGGGGGTCGATTGATAAGGGATTTAAAGCACTCGGGCCCCATCCGGGAGCTTGGTATCGCTCTGACGTGTGCACCTTCTCTCGGCGGGGATTATTAGGGAGCATCCTGGAGCATCCTGCGCAAAAGCCACGCACGAAACCGACAAAAAAGCACAGGGAATGGACGTCCGAGCGACGGGGAGGGAGGCAGCTCCGGGGAGGAGGCCTCGCGGCGAAGTGGAGAGCTGCGCCGGGAGGAGCGCGCAGAGGCGGCCTCCGGCACCGGAGGCGGGCGGCAGTGGGAGGGGCACGGCCAGTGCAAGTTGGGCCCCTCCGGTAAGTCGGGCGTGCCCCTCCGCAGGAGGAGTATACAAAAATAGCCATCAGAGAAATGGTCGGGGGGCCATCTGTGTCGACCATATTTTCGGAGTGTGTCTGCAGATTTTTGGGGGGGTATTGTTCAAGTTATTCGTCCAACATCCGCCTGTAGGGGGACGTGGCCGACCTGACCCTCCCAGGACACGCAGCACCGTTGCGAGCTCCATCTGGAAGGTCGGCCGTGTCCACCTCTCGCCCGGCAGAGCGGCCCGCAGCAGGCCGCCTCGAGGGAGTGAGGTCGTCTAAAGTCAGGAGGGAAAGAAACACACAGACACAATGAATCGTCGATTCCCAGGAAAACATGGGAAGATATGGGAAGTGGGGGGGAAGACAAGAACCCAAAAATATATAGGAAAATATGGGGAATATTTTTATTTGTGTGTATTTATTTGTGTGTCCTGGGGCCCCTTTATAAAGTCCAAGTGCGCACGGCGAAGCTGCACCATCATCCCTTCTGGTGTGGCAGCGCGTGGTGACCCATGCAGGAGCTACCCTCTGCGTACACATCCCCCCGCTCGAAGCACAAGCAAATGCATGAAGATAATGTCACGGAGTTCCGCGCGGACCTGTGAGAAATCATGCGTGTGCAGTTGTTTCTGTTCCGCTACCTGCGATGAGCCCAATACAGTTGCCTTCGACGTTGCTGTGGTGTCCACCGACGCCAGGTCCCAGAAAAGCCGGGCTCCACTGCTAAGCCGTTGGCCAGCCCTCGGCCCCAGAGCTGACCCGCCTCGGCCCGCGGGTTCGCCCCTTTCTCTGCACGGCGTGTCGCCTTCCAGCTTCATGCCGATGCCTTCTACAATCCTCGTCAAAATGAACCTCAAAAATGTCTTACGCGACTGGACTGTTTGTGGGGAGATACTGGTCAGAGTTGCGGTGACTTCGAGGTACTTGTATGCGCCGCCCCTCCAATGTCGGTCATCATCAAACTTCCGAGTCGTTCCCGGTCAGACCATTTTTGCCGTGGCCCCGACATCGGAGGGGCGCCTATCGACATTGAAGAGCGCGCCGACATCGCAGGGGCTTGGTCGCCATTTTTGAGGTTAATTTTGACGAGGGTCGAGGGGGAGTCCACTCTGACAGGCGGTGCGTGTGGCAGATCTCGCGCTGCGTCGGCGTGGATCGCGGAGGCCATATCTCTGGAGTATAGGGGTCAAGCACGCCCTTCGGCCACGGGCGGCACGTGCTCCCGAGTTGTTCATTTGTGGTCTGAGGCGGCCGCGTTGGCAGAATGCTCGACGTTTGTGAGAGAGGAGGAGGAGGAGGAGGAGGAGGAGGAGGAGGAGGAGGAGGAGGAGGAGAGGGAGGGGGAGGGAGGAGAAGGAGGAGGAGGAGGAGGAGGAGGAGGAGTTGGTGGGTAGGTGTGGAGTGTAATGTTGTATACGTACTGGGCGATCTACATAACATAGATAGGCTTCGAGACGCAATCCGAGTCCAAGTCCGAGAGGACGAGGGTCGAGGAAGCGCAAACATGGACGATAGGGCACGCGGATCAGCGACGGGTCCCGCTTCCATGCAGAATCCGGCGCGCGCCGTCGCCAAGTGACGTGGCATCGGCTCCACTTGTCCAGAGGGGGGGGGGGAGCTTTCCCCGATCCGTGGAGCTGGCGCCCTCCCGCCAGGTCCACGGATCCATACGTCCATGTTAGCGTGTGCTGGGGCGGGGGGGTTTGGGAGGGGAGGACCAGGGTCGGCGGCGAGCCCAGGGAGGGAACGAGAGGGCGCAGGGCTTCTCAAGAACGGCGACGTGGCTTCTCCCAGTCCCTCGCGCCTTCTCGTGAGCCTTGTAAGCCTTCTCCGAAGCCACCGACGGCTTCGAGGCGCGAGGGTGCCCGTGTTCGCCCAGCGGCTTGCTTACGAAAAGGACGAGGAGTGCCAGGAGGAAAAACCGGCTCAACACGCAAATGAACGTTGATGCGTATGACCATGGTGGAGGATTGTGAGCATGAAGGGGAACAGAAAATGCAGGAAGTAGACTGAAACAGTGTTAGCCAGCGTGGGCCCCAGACGGTGAGTTCTTGCAATCTCTATGCGGCGCAATCTACATAGCAATGCACGGCAAGGCCACGTGCGAGCCTCGCACAATCAAAAACGTGACCAAGGACGGCGGCGACGGGGCGGCCACGAGCCAGCCGGACCGACAGCCAGGCCCAGCTCCTTCTCGGGGGCGGACAGAACCCCAACAGTGAGACGTCGATTAGTGCATTGTTTGCTGTCGGTTCTCAAGATGGCGCCGTGGCCGTTATTTTCCAGGCTTGCGCCGGCCAGGTTTGGGCCTCAGGTCGTTTGCACTAAACCACGCTTTGCTAAAGGGGGGTCTGTCCGTCCCCGATCTTTCGAAGAGGAGCAAGACCCCTTAAGTGCAAGCACCTGTCCGGAACATAGGGAATCGTGGAATGTGTGAATTTGCGCCGATGTATCTGTGTCCCCCTGGACTTCCCTAGGGGTACAGTCAAACGCTGAGATGAGCGACTTTCCAAGGTTTCCTTTGCAGCATTTCCCTTCGGCCCAAGCCTTGACCACTTCCGTCGACCGCGCCCCTCTCGAGAAGTGTCGGCATGGCCTTCCAAGGCCCTTGCATCCTTGTGGATTCCCTTCGGGGATCATCCGTTAAAATTGGAACGATACAAAGGAGCTTAGCATGGCCCCTGCGCAAGGATGACACGCACAAATCGAGAAGTGTATACTATGGTTTGTTTTTAAAGAGGCCCCTGCATCCTTGTCGTGCATCCGTATTGCCAGTCTTGACGGGCGGGGCTAGGAGGGAGCGCGGGAGCTCGTGGGGGAAGGTCCTCCGCCTCCTCCTCCTCCTCCTCCTCCTCCTCCTCCGCCTCCTCCTCCTCCTCCTCCTCCTCCTCGTCGGGCGGGGCTCGGACGAGGAAACACCAGTCCCAAAGCAGCCTGGAACGCTCTGTGAAGGTCACGGCCCCCAAGACGCCCTCCAGAGCCGCTGGATCTCAGAGATTCTCGACTGATCCTCACTGCGAAGGCCTTGCGGCGGGTGCCGCCGACCCTGAAGGGCGATGACGCATCCACCCCCAATCGCCCACTGATCGCCGATCGGGGCCCGATAGCCACCCCACCCAGGAAGGTGCGGATTCACTATCGGGGGCCTGTCGCCGATCTGTCGACGATGTACCGCCGATTGCAGGTTCATGCATCCCCCCCTATGCCTGTCCCCCCCTATCGTTACCCATCAAGCACAGTGACTATGGCCCGGGTTGACCCAAAAGGGAGTGCAGCGAAAAGGGGGTGGTGCAATAGATTTGGTGCAATCAGTCTGTGGGGCTGCAACACAGTTGGGGCGTGCAACACATTCTGGGACGCAAGTGTATTGCTGGATGTTCGCGTGTAACACATCCCTTGCAATACAATGCAATACAATTCTCCGGCGCAAGATATTTGCAATACAATTGCCCAAAAATCTATTGCACCACCCCCTTGCAGCTGAACCCCCTTTTGGGTGTGCTTGAATGACCAAGATGCCATGGGATTTTGTCGATGCCGATCTCGGTCATGGTCCACGCTCGCTGGCGTCAATTCGCGGAAACGATCCAGGACTTGGCGTTGGCAAAGATCGACGGTGACCAAGATCGGGACGACGTTTCCACGTTCAGTCTTGGTCATGGTCCCTGTCTCAGTCCCCTTCACCCCGTTCCCCGCTGTGCCCTTCTCGTGCCCTTCCCGGCGGCTGCAGTCAGAACGCACCCCAGGAGAGGTTCGAGGTGTTCGGGGGTTGGAGGTTCGAGGTATTCGTGCAGTTTCGTAGCTTCTCGGCGGTCTTCCAGCTTCGGAAGCTTTCCAGCAGCTGCGCCTCGCCGAAAGCGTTCCGGAGATGACCTGATCGCCCCAAACGGCCGCTGGAGAGCAGAGTCATGACCGGAAATGCAGGGGGAAACGTTTGGTGGGGGGAAAGGTTCAGGGAGGGGATGCATCGACCCCGAATCGCCTGTTCATCGCCAAGAAGGGCCCTTTGTGAAAAGAAGCACGGCTTCGGGTGCTTCGTCTTCCTTCAGCCTTCTCTTCCTTAGCCATGTTGGTTCAAGTTTAGTGTGGTTCAAGGGAGGAAGTTTGAGCAGATCCGCATGACGAGCTGCGACCACTGTGTGGTGTCAAGAGTCGGCTGAAATCGTACGAGCGGCTAGCAGATGTCGAGCGCCCCTCCCCTTGCCAACAATGTATCTCCGAAGGTAAATCTATCAATGGCACGTTTCTGTTATGAACTTGACGAAGCCGGTTCATCCAGCGTCGATGTATTCAAATTGTTTGGGCGGCCAGTGGTTGGTTTGTGTGCCCGAGTATTCAGCAAACGATGTTTTGCAGCAGCGATTTTTTTGGACTGCATATGCGTGAGCGAGTGCGGGAGGTCCCATGTGGTTCAGTTGATTCTGACGAAAAATGAAAATGATTCATATGGGAAAGATGTACGTGTAGGTGACGTCGTCAAAGTCATCGACGGTAATGTTGACCCAAGGCTGGCGAAGCCACCTCGAGCATGCATCATTCATGTATATGCGCTGGAAGTTGACGAGCCGTGGAGTGAAACTCTCGGGATTGGGGACGTGCACTTCCATCAGTCTGTTTTCCATGACGACATTGATGCTTCCTTCATGCATTGCAAGCGTGGTAGTGGTGAGCCGAAGGAATCAACATCTAACAAGTTCAAGGACCGTAGCCCCTACGCAATCTTGCAATGCCACGCATCAGTGGCTGAAAGAGTTGCGATGTACTTCAACGGGGTTTCTCTTTCGTCGTACTCGAAGGACCTTTTAGTAATGCTGTACGAGGACCACCAAGACGAGGAGGATGTTTTCAAACTGCGTAGAGCAAAGTATCTTGGCAAGGAGGAAGTTGAGAGCTTTCTGCGTGGCATCGTGCAGCGAGTGTATTTCGTACAGCCGCGCCTGAAAGAAGTCAGCTTCGCCCAAATTGTGGCGAAGTATCTGAAGGCGGTTGCTAGTGACAGCAGTCCTGAACGAGTGAACCGATTCCGCAGACTCAGGTGTTTCCCCCGACTTCACGAAGCTAAGTTGAAAGAATTGCTCCTTAGAGAAAGCGCTGAGACGCCAAAAGGCTCCCCGACACTCGAGCAGAGCCTAACGAAGCAGAGCCTACCAAACATATGTGATTGCGTTGTGTACGCGGACGGTTTATATTGGTTGGGCATTGATACAAAGCGCATGTTGGTTCCAGTGAAGAGTCAAGAAGTTGTTCCATCTGGTGCCTACTGGAAGCTTCTTGAAATCAGGGAGCGGTATCTGAAGGACTCTCTCAACGTGGTGGAGAAGTACGGGCGCCGGAGCCTGGCGATAGACATTGGTGCCTCCCCAGGTGGCTGGAGCTACTGTCTAGCCGCAAATTTTGGCACACGGCTGACTTTTGCAGTGGATCCAGCTTCGCACATGCACGAATTGTTGAATAAATACGCAAGTACGCAGGAGGGTGACACAGCGGATTCAAGTGTCATAACACACTGGATGTGTCGCGGGGACGCAGGTCTCGAGCGGCTGGAGAAACATGTTTCCGAGGAGGGAAGTGGGAGCAAAGTCGCAGTATTTGTGTGCGATATGAACGATGATATGGAGAGGGCGGTGGAGTTGGTCAGGACTTTTGTTTTGAATGAATTGTTCGAGAGACCGTGCTTGATTGTTGTGACATTCAAGCGGACATGCAGGAATAAGGCCGAGTTTTCGGACCGCAAGTCCAAGTCTTTGGCGGTTCTTGAGAATGAGTGTGGTTTGAGTCACCTGCAGGAGCTACATCTATTCGCAAACACGCCGCAAGAGACGACAGTTGTTGGACAGCTGGAGGAGCCTTCGGTTGTTGGCTGAGTAACGAGGATTGACCGAGCGTGTCATTAAGAGTGGCAAGATCTCACCGCGAAGCGATAGAAGCTAAGCGGCGGAACACATTGCATGTCATATTAATGGTTGAAGCTGGTGACATGGCCTGCATTGGCAATGCAAGGCGAAACAGTTGCTGCATGTTGCTTTTCGCTGCTACATCGGCTGGAGTTGCTATCGAGCAAGGTGCCGAAGGTACAGTTGCAGTACGTACTGATGCTGGCTTTTTGTTGGAGTACTGCTAGTGTTAGGTGGTGTGGACACTCCGACATTACGAGATGGCGCATGCCCATCCAACCGTGCCGCAGAGCTCCCCCCACTTCAATAGTCTTGAGGATCGAGCCATTCGTAGACGGAGGCTCTCCAGTATGTCGCTCGTCGAATAGTCTTGGCACGCGCTTGCTCGGCTGCGGCCCGCTCTTTCTGGCCAGCCTCGGCGGCCGGAGAGGCCCACAGCGTGCTCCCGTCGTGCTCAGTGGTCGCCCTTGGTCGCCGCCCGGCCACGGCGGGCCTTCGGCTACCCCTGGCCTGCAGCGGCGCCGGCCGGCCCGCCCCAGAGCTCACCGTGGGATGCTGAGTGGGACGTCAGGTGCCCGGCACGCCTCGTCGTCGCATGATCCATCCCAGGAGTCCTCATCCAGCCTCCTCCGCCCGCCGTCCCCGCAGGGGTCGCGGGAGGCTTCCGCGGAGGCTCCCCGAGGCCCAGCAGAGGCCAGCAGCAAAAAAAAACACGACGGGCGGTGTTTGCCCCATGGGCCCCCCACCCGTGAGTTCCTGCACTGCGGATCAGGTTATGAAGTTCATTATGTGCGTTGAATGTGTTGTGGCACATCATGCATGGATGGAGCCCTGCACTCCTGGGGTATGTCATCTCGAAACCATCTGGGCCCGTTTTGTGATGGCCCCGCGTTTCGCTTCCAAGAGGTGTCAAAGACATTTCATGAAAGCCTCAAGACGGCCCAACATGGGACGACACAAGATGGCCTCCAAGATGGCGCTGGAGGGTCCAGGATGGCTCAAGATAGCTGACAAGATGTTTCCAAAACGGCTCTTAACACCAACGGACTTTCCCAGGACGGCCCCGAGAAGTCAAAATCCGTAAAAAGTTATTGAAAATCCATAGTTTTCGCGTTCTCACCTTTTCGTCTTCGATGGGTCACTGACGGCACATGTTGACCCCAAAAGTGACCCACGCGAGCCCAGAGCTCAAGAGAGCCCCAGGACAGCCCCAAGAGTTCCCCAAGACAGCCTCAAGAAAGCCCCAAGACGGCCCAAGAGACCTCCAAGACGGCCCTGGAGCGCCCCAAGACACCCGGAGTCGCCACCAAAAGCTTCCGGAGGCTTCCGACGAGACAAGAACGCTTCGAGACGCACCAAAAAATTTGGATGCAACTCCTGGGAGGTCGAATTCTGATGTTGCCCTGTTCTGAAATCTGGCTAATCCAGCTTAGTCCCGCTTAATCCCGAGGAGGGAGGAGGGAGGAGGGAGGAGGAGGAGGAGGGAGGAGGACGAGGACGAGGACGAGGACGAGGCCGAGGACGAGGGCGAGGACGAGGACGAGGAGAGGAGGAGGAGGAGGGAAGGAGGAGGAGGAGGAGGAAGGAGGAGGAGGAGGAGGAGGAGCCCGCGCAGCGGCGGCCGCGGCGGTGCAGCGGCGGCGGCGGTGCCCGGTGCGCAGGGCGCCGGCGGCCCTCGGAGCCCCGGGCGGCCTCGGGAGGCCCGCGCCGCGCGCGGGGGGGCCTCCGCGCCGCGTCGCGCGCGGGGGGGCATCCGCGCCGCGCCGCGCCGTGGGGGCCGCTGCTCGGCGGCGGGGCCAGGGTCGAGGAGGAATTTTAAGTCGGGCATGTCCCTCTACAGGAGGGATGCGTATCCAAAAATAATTATCCCGGCAAAACAACCAAACAGCGATGTGTATAAGCATATCTGGAAGCATTCCCCTTAGGATTCGGGTGAGAATCCAAATGTGGAATTCTGCTGTTCTCGCAGTCGCAGTCGCATTCGCAATGACAGTCGCAGTGGCAACGGCCTTAGGACCCAATGGAATCCCAAGGATTCCTATGGATTCCTACGACATCCTTAGGCATCCTTAGGAATCCATAGGAATCCTTAGGAAACCTGAGGAATCCTTAGGAATCCTGATTCCTAGGGATTCCTAAGGATTCCTAGGGAATCCTAAGGATTCCGAAGGATTCGCCTGCCTCGGCCTCAGCCTCAGCCTGCCTCAGCCTCAGCCTGCCTCAGCCTCAGCCTGCCTCAGCCTCAGCCTCAGCCTGTCTCAGCCTCAGCCTGCCTCAGCATAAGCCTCAGCCTGCCTCAGCCTGCCTCAGCCTGCCTCGGCTTGCCTCGGCCTCAGCCTCAGCCTCCCTCGGCTTGCCTCAGCCTCAGCCTCAGCCTCAGCCTCAGCCTCAGCCTGCCTCGGCCTCAGCCTCAGCCTGCCTCGGCCTCAGCCTCAGCCTCAGCCTCAGCCTGCCTCAGCCTCAGCCTCAGTCTGCCTCAGCCTCAGCCTGCCTCAGCCTCAGCCTCAGCCTGCCTCAGCCGCAGCTTGCCGCAGCCTCAGCCTCTCAGCCTCAGCCTGCCTCAACTTCAGCCTCAGCCTCAGCCTGCCTCGGCTTGCCTCAGCCTCAGCCTCAGCCTGCCTCGGCCTCAGCCTCAGCCTCAGCCTCAGCCTGCCTCAGCGTCAGCCTCTCATCAGCCTCAGCCTCAGCCTCAGCCTGCCTCAGCCTCAGCCTGCCTCAGCCTCAGCCTCCTGCCTCGGCCTCAGCCTGCGTCAGCCTCAGCCTCAGCCTGCCTCAGCCTCAGTCTGCCTCAGCCTCAGCCTCAGCCTGCCTCGGCGTGCCTCAGCCTCAGCCTCAGCCTCAGCCTGCCTCAGCCTCAGCCTGCCTCGGCTACAGCCTGCCTCAGCTCGGGCATTCAAAATATGGCGCAGGACTGATGTTCCGGGAGCAGATCACAAAGTGACCCACAGTTGGCTCTGGGCAATCAAAATATGGTACAGGAATGGTTTTCTGGGAACACGAAAAACACGAAGTGGCCTACAGTTGGCTCTGGGCACTCAAAATGTAGCCTGGGAGTAGTGTTCTGGGAACACGAAGAACACGAAATGGCCTACGGTTGGCTCCGGGCATTCAAATGCGGCATGGGAGTAGTGTTCTGGGAACACGAACAACACGAAGTGGCCTACAGTTGGCTCCGGGCATTCAAATGTGGCCTGGGAATGGTGTTCTGGGACCACGAAGAACACGAAGTGGCCTACAGTTCGCTCCGGGCATTCAAAAGGTGGCTTGGGAATGGTGTTCTGATGCAAGAATGCAAGGATTCCTATGGAATTCCTAAGGATTCCTGACGCTGACGGTTTTTTCTTGTTCCCGCCCAGACCTCCTTGGGGCTGCCGGTTTCTGCCGGTTCCTAATCTGACACCTTTAGAAAAGCTGTTAGGTAATCAAAGAACTAATGTGGAGAGGATTTTTCTCTTGTTTGTTTTAAATTTATTTTGCACATTTGACTGTTTCCTATTTGTTTGCCAAGGTTATGTCGGGCATGTCCCCCTAAAGGAGGAAATCCAAAAGTAGACAAAGATAATCTGGGGACGACTGCTTGGCTATATGTGTTGGCCATTTTTCATTTCGTCCAAAATCCGCCTGTGGGGGGGGGGGACGTGCCCAACCCAGGGTCGAAGAGGAAATTAGCCTGACGAAGGGCCCAACCATATGCAGGTGTGAGTACCGCAATTGTGATTCACTTTTTCCGGTGGTGATCCCTATGGGGCCACGAACCGTGCTAGGGGTGTGCCGAAATGAGTGGCGCGGTACACAACGCGAACGAAAACGAACAACACAATGCGGACTGAGCCACGGGGACCTTCGGTGGGGCTCCATATGACGCTGTACTGGGTGAGGGAGACGCATGCGGACTGCGCCACGGGGACCTTGGGTAGAGTTCCCTATGGGGTCACGAAGCGTGTGAGGGGTGTGCCGAAATGAGTGGCGGGGACGCATGCGAACTGTGCCATTGGGACCTTCGGCGGAGCTCCTATTGTGCCGCAATGAGTGGCGGGGGCGCATGCGAACTGTGCCACTGGGACCTTCGGCGGAGCTCCTATGGGGCCACGAAACGTGTGAGTGGTGTGCCGAAATGAGTGGCGGACGCATGCGAACTGTGGCATTAGGACTTTCGGCGGAACTCCCATGGAGGCACGAAACGTGTGAGGGGTGTGCCGATATGAACGGCGGGGACGCATGCGAGCTGTGCCACTGGGACTTTCGGCGGAGCTCCTATGGGGCCACGAAACGCGTGAGGGGTGTGCAGACATGAGTGGCGGGGACGCATGCGAACTGTGCCGTTGGGGCCTTCGGCGGAGCTCCCTATGGGGCCACGAAACGTGTGAGGGGTGTGCCGAAATGAGCGGCGGGGACGCATGCGAACTGTGCCACTGTGACCTTCGGCGGAGCTCCTTATGGGCAGCGAAACGTGTGAGGGGTGTGCCGAAATGAGTGGCGGGGACGCATGCGAACTGCGCCATTGGGACCTTCGGCAGAGCTCCTATGGGGCCACGAAACGTGTGAGGGGTGTACCGAAATTAGTGGCGGCGAACTGTGCCATTAGGACTTTCGGCGGAACTCCCATGGAGGCACGAAACGTGTGAGGGGTGTGCCGATATGGGGCCACGAAACGTGTGAGGGGTGTGCCGAAATGAGTGGCGGGAACGCATGCGGACTGTGCCACTGGGACTTTCGGCTGACCTCCTATGGGGCCACGAAACGTATGGGGGTGTGCCGAAATGAGTGGCGGGGACGCATGCGAGCTGTGCCAGTGGGACTTTCGGCGGAGCTCCCATGGGCCACGAAACGTGTGAGGGGTGTGCCGACATGAGTGGCGGGGACGCATGCGAAATGTGACCTTCGGCGGGGCTCCCTATGGGGCCACGAAACGAGTGAGGGGTGTGCCAAAATGAGCGGCGGGGACGCATGCGAACTGTGCCATTGGGACCTTTGGCGGGGTCCTATGGGGCCACGAAACGTGTGAGGGGTGTGCAGACATGAGTGGCGGGGACGCATGCGAACTGTGCCACTGGGGCCTTCGGCGGAGCTCCCTATGGGGCCACGAAACGTGTGAGGGGTGTGCCGAAATGAGCGGCGGGGACGCATGCGAACTGTGCCATTGTGACCTTTGGCGGGGCTCTTTATGGGGCAGCGAAACGTGTGAGGGGTGTGCCGAAATGAGTGGCGGGGACGCATGCGAACTGCGCCACTGGGACCTTTGGCGGAGCTCCTATGGGGCAACGAAACGTGTGAGGGGTGTACCGAAATTAGTAGCGGCGAACTGTGCCATCAGGACTTTCGGCGGAACTCCCATGGAGGCACGAAACGTGTGAGGGGTGTGCCGACATGGGTGGCGGGGACGCATGTGATTTGCGCCACCGGGCGGAGCTCCCATGGGGCCACGAAACGTGTGAGGGGTGTGCCGAAATGAGTGGCGGGGACGCATGCGAGCTGTGCCACTGGGACTTTCGGCAGAGCGAGGGGTGTGCCGAAATTAGCGGCGGGGACGCATGCGAACTGTGTGCCACTGGGACTTTCGGCGGAGTTCTTATGGGGCAACGAAACGTCTGAGGGCTGTCCTGAAATGATTGGCAGGGACGCATGCGAACTGTGGCATTGGGACCTTCGGCGGAACTCCTATGGGGCCACGAAACGTGTGAAGGGTGTGCCGAATTAAGTGG